GTGTCCTTGTCACCCATGGGACACCCGGTGTCCCCCCGCACTGCCGGTGTCACCGTGTCCTTGTCACCCATGGGACACCTGGTGTCCCCCCACGCTGCCGGTGTCACCGTGCCCTTGTCACCCATGGGACACCCAGTGTCCCCCCGCGCTGCCGGTGTCACCGTGCCCTTGTCACCCATGGGACACCCAGTGTCCCCCCACGCTGCCGGTGTCACCGTGTCCTTGTCACCCATGGGACACCCGCTGTCCCCCCGCGCTGCCGGTGGCCCCGCGGGCCGGGCGGCCGCACCTGGTCCAGGAAGGGCGACTGCACGCCCAGGTAGCGGGACACCACGTAGAGGCAGAAGAGGTGGCGGTCGATGCCGGCGCCCGTCATGGCCAGCCGGTACATGAGCTGGTGCTTCTCGGCCGCCAGCTTGAAGAGCCGCTGCCGCTCGGCACGCTGGAGCCCGCGCTCAGCGCCGGGCCCCCGCACCCCGGGACCCCGCCAAGGGCTGGGGACCCCGCCAAGGGCTGGGGACCTGTCCCGGCCTTGGGGAGCGCCTCCGGAGAGGGGACGGGGACAGGGACCTCCCCGAGGGACAGGGACAACCCCGAGGGACGGGGACAACCCCAAGGGATGGGAGCCCTTCCAGCAAGGGGAACCTCTGTGAGGGACGGAGACTCCCTCCATGGATGGAGACATGTCCAGGGGATGGGGACCTCCCCAAGGGACGGGGACTCCCTCCGTGGATGGAGCCATGTTCAAAGGATGGGACCTCCCCAAGGGACAAGGACCTTCCCTGGAAACGGGGATGACTCCGAGGGACAGGCACCTCCCCGAGGTTTGGGAACTCCTCCGGAGTCAGGGACAACAGCAAAGGATGGGGACCTCAGGGACAGAGGTCCCCCAGGTGGATAGGGACCCCCCTTTGGGGAGTGGGGCTCATTCCGAGGGCCATGCCCAAGGGAAGGGGACCGCTTGGAGAGGGAGCTGCCCCAGGTGCCCGGGAATAGCCAAGGGAAGGGGGCCGCGGGCTCCGGGAAGGGGCCGGGGCGGCGGGCGCTGCTCACGCTCTGCGCCGGGTCCTCCACGCTGCGCACGAAGGCCGTGGCCTCGGCCGTGCAGGAGCGCACGGTCTCGGTGCGGCCCTCGCGGAACAGCCGCGTCATGGAGGCCTCGTAGGTGAGGCAGAAGCTGCCCTTGTCCTGCGGAGAGGCGGCCGTGAGGCGGGACGGGCACCGGGACGGGTGCAGGGGGACGGGGATCAGGACAGGCGCGCGGGGACGGGCACCGGGACGGGCGCGCGGGGCCCTGGACCGGGACGGGCGCGTGGGGACGGGGATCGGGACGGGCGCATGGGGCCCTGGACCGGGACGGGCACGCGGGGACGGGGAGCGGGATGGGTGCATGGGGACGGGGACCGGGACGGGCGCGCGGGGATGGGCACCAGGACGGGTGCGTGGGGCCCTGGACCGGGACGGGCACGCGGGGACGGGGATCGGGATGGGTGCACGGGGTCCAGGACCGGGACGGGCGCGCGGGGATGGGCACCAGGACGGGTGCGTGGGGCCCTGGACCGGGACGGGCACGCGGGGACGGGGATCGGGATGGGTGCACGGGGTCCAGGACCGGGACGGGCACATGGGGCTCAGGGCCGGGACGAGTGTACGGGACCCGGGACCGGGACGGGCACACAGGACCCAGTACCCAGGTGGGCACACGGGGTCCAGGACCRGGACGGGCACATGGGGCTCAGGGCCGGGACGAGTGTACGGGACCCGGGACCGGGACGGGCACACAGGACCCAGTACCCAGGTGGGCACACGGGGTCCAGGACCRGGACGGGCACATGGGGCTCAGGGCCGGGACGAGTGTACGGGACCCGGGACCGGGACGGGCACACAGGACCCAGTACCCAGGTGGGCACACGGGGTCCAGGACCAGGACGGGCACATGGGGCTCAGGGCCGGGACGAGTGTACGGGACCCGGGACCGGGACGGGCACACAGGACCCAGTACCCAGGTGGGCACACGGGGTCCAGGACCGGGATGGGCACACGGGGCCTGGGATCAGGATGGGCGCACGGGGCTCAGGGCTGGGATGGGCACACGGGACCCGGTGCCCAGATGGGCACACGGGGCCCAGGACCGGAACAGGTACCGGGGCAGGTGTGTGGGACAGAGAACCACTGTGGGTGCGTGGGGTTCAGTGCCAGGGTGGGCACGTGCAGCCTGGTGCTGTGATGGGCGCACAGGACCCAGCGTCGGGGCAGGTGCATGGGACCCACAACCGCTATGGGTGCACAGCACCAAGGACCACACTGGCACACACGGGCCAGTGCCATGGTGGGCGCAGGACCCAGCGCCAGGGCGAGTGTGTGGAACTCAGCACCACTATGGGCACACACGGCCCGGTGCCGTGGTGGGCGTGCAGCATTCGGTGCCAGGGCAGGTACATGGGACCCAGGACCATGATGAGCGCGTGGGATCCAGCACCAAGGTGGGCGCACACAGCCCAGTGCCGCGGTGGGCACAGCAACCGGTGCCAGGCAAGTGTGTGGGACCCAGGACCATTATGGGCACGCGGGATCCAGCACCGCGGCGGGGACGGACAGCCTGGTGCCACGGCGGGTGCAGCACCCCGTGCCGGGGTGGATGTGTGGGACCCAGGACCATTATGGGCACGCGGGATCCAGGAGCACGGAGGATGCATGCAGTGCAATGCCACGGCAGGCGCAGCACCCCGTGGCGCGCCGGGTCGCGCATGCGGCTCACGCGGAAATGCGCCAGCTGCAGCGAGAGCTGCACGAAGGCGTCGGGGCTGGTGCGGCAGCGCTTGATGAGCCCCTTGCCGAAGTGCGTGAAGAGGAAGCAGCAGAAGTCCACGTCGTCCGCCAGCGCCCGGGCCGCGCGGTACGAGCTCTCGATGACCTCCTGGCACTGCGGGACACGCGCAGGGTGGCACCGCGGGAGCCGCCCCACGGCCGCCGCGCCCCGCGCTGCGCTCAGGGAGCCGCCAGGATAGGGGGGATCAGGGCTGGGGGGCCGGGGGTCCCCAGGACATGGGGATCAGGGCTGGGAGCCCCCAGGACACAGGGCTGGGGGACAGGGAGCCCCCAGGACATGGGGGATCAGGGCTGGGAGCCCCCAGGACACCAGGATCAGGGAGCCCCCAGGACACAGGGCTGGGGGGTCCCCAGGCCGCGGGGATCGGGGCTGGGAGCCCCCAGGACACGGGGGGATCAGGGCTGGGGGGTGGGAGCCCCCAGGCCACAGGGATCAGGGCTGGGGGCCCCCAGGACACAGGGCTGGGGGACAGGGAGCCCCCAGGCCATGGGGATCAGGGAGTCCCCAGGACACAGCGATCAGGGCAGGGAGCCCCCAGGCCACAGGGATCAGGGCTGGGGGCCCCCAGGACATGGGGCTGGGGGACAGGGAGCCCCCAGGCCATGGGGATCGGGGCTGGGGGGTCCCCAGGCCGCGGGGATCGGGGCTGGGAGCCCCCAGGACATGGGGTTGGGGGACAGGGAGCCCCCAGGCCATGGGGGATCAGGGCTGGGAGCCCCCAGGACACAGGGATCAGGGCTGGGGGCCCCCAGGACATGGGGCTGGGGGGCTGGGAGCCCCCACTACACAGCGATCAGGGTTGGGGGGCAGGGAGCCCCCAGGCCATGGGGATCAGGGCTGGGGGCCCCCAGGCCGCGGGGATCGGGGCGGGGGGCCGGGCGCACCTCGGGGGGGATGTCCCAGAGCAGGCGCTCGGGGGGCGCCAGCCCCGTGTTGGGCTCCCCTCGGCAGTTGCCCTTCTCGTCGTAGCCCAGCTCGAACCGGTCCGTCCCCAGCATGAACTGGGGCAGAGGCGGCGCCTGAGCGGCCGCCCTGCCCACTGCGCCCCACGGAGCCCCCACATCCCCGGGGACCACGTGCCAGGGATCTGGCACCCCGCACATGTGGAGCACATCTGGGCTAGGTTGGGGGTACCCGTCCCAGGGACGCTCCTCGGGGCGCTCAGTTTGGGGGTTCACACTTGGGCACACGGCGCCAAGGCACTATCCCCCACATCTGGAGCACATCTGGGCTAGCTTGGCACTCCCAACCTGGGGTGCACATCTGGGGGCACTGCACAGAGGTGCTGCCCATCCCTTCTCACCCACATCTGGGGCTGCGCGGTGGTGCCCGTCCTGCGGGCGCACATCTGGAGGAGCCCAGCCCCGGGCTCACACGGGGAGCACTGCGCACAGCTGGGGCACAGCTGGGGCGCCTGGCAGGTCCCCATGGCTCTGTCGGGGTGCACACATGGGTGCCCCACACAGGGGTCCCCCGCACCCCAGGGCGCCCCGCGGGGTACCTCCCAGAGGTGCCCGATGATGGGCGCGTCGGCCCACGAGTGCTCGGCGTTGGCGCCCAGCTTGCCGTTCTTGAAGACCACCAGGGTGAAGGACTTGTCGAACCAGCTGCGGGAGACGCGGGCTGAGCCGGTGCCGGTGCCGGTGCCGGTGCCGGTGCCGGTGCCGGTGCC